GTAGCCGCCCCGAACCCAAGCGTTACTGTTTATATACTCCACTGTCCACATGGGTTATAATTTATTTGGAATAGAACCATGTATAATAGAAACATTGCACGAATAACTAATTCATTTTTTAGTTTGATTTTAAATTTCGTGCATCTATTGTACGGAATAGTGACTAAACGCATGCGCATTAAGTCACAGAGCATGAAAAAGGCATACTTATAGCGCTTATAGCGCTTATATCGAGTCGGTATGACAGATTTCCTAACCTGAACGGCCGTGAACTTTAACGCTAAATATCTCGATTCAGAGGCCAGAGCGGCACTTTTTTCTGCCACATTCGTTCATTTCGTGCAAAAACGCGTCGAATAAGCCTAATTTCATCAAAATCGGAGGTGAGACGGGTATTCTATACCTTTACCTAAATTTTTATTTGTGCGCAAAAGTGCTTGTAGGCAATCGAGCTGTAGGCAATCGAGCTGTAGGCAATAGTACATGTAGGCAATCGAGCTGTAGGCAATAATGCATGTAGGCAATAGTACATGTAGGCAATCGAGCTGCAGGCAATAGTACATGTAGGCAATCGAGCTGTAGGCAATAATGCATGTAGGCAAAAGTAATTCTGTTTCTAAAATTTTTATTTGTGCGCAAAAGTGCTTGTAGGCAATCGAGCTGTAGGCAATAATGCATGTAGGCAAAAGTACATGTAGGTAATAGTACATGTAGGCAATCGAACTGTAGGCAATAATACATGTAGGCAATCGATCTGTAGGCAATAGAACATGTAGGCAATCGATTTGTAGGCAAATGGGATGTAGGCAAAAGGTGCTGTAGGCAATCGATTTGTAGGCAAAAGCAACCCTCTCGATGATTTGTACCCCTAGTTCATTTTTTAGCGACAACCACCTTTCGTTGTTTACCATGAGATACTGAAAAAGAAATTGGGGGTTGTCAAAAAAGAATTTTTAAAAACACAAAAAACACTTACCCCCTCTACTGGGTACTCGTACTTGATTTCCAAGTGATCCTTTAAATCACATATTTTCACCCACTTTTTTTACAGATATTCGTATACGATAGACTGACTGATCACGACAGCGCGAGTGACAATTATAGTATATCATATATGATTGCGCATCATTTCCTTTTTCCTTTTTCCTTTTTTCCTTAAGTATATTTAGAATGTAGAAGGTAGGGGTATAAAATAATGTTTTTTTCTATATTCAAAGAATATATAATAATAGTTTTTTATTTATTACGCGATGTACATTCGTTTACTTCTCTCCGAAGACCAGAGCGATCAACTCGCATTCGATGATATCGTTGCGGTCGAAGGATTTGTCATCATAAATCGTTTTCAGCATGTTCGCAGATTCCGTGACAGTGGACGCGATATCGAGAAATCGTGAGAATTTTTGGTCGACTATTGCAGTTAAGGAGGAAATGAGACTATTTACACAGTGTTCGAGATTAAACATATTGAGCACGGTGCTTTTCGACATGGATAGACGAGCTGTACTTGTTTCTAGACGCAGTATTGGTAGATTGTTGATTCGTCCGTAGCGTAACGTTAGATTTCCAATATACATTGGGGACGGCGCACGTATCCCTTTATTCTCATCATACTGCAGAAGGGACAATATGACCCGTTTTTGTTTGAAAAGCTCTTTCCAGATGTCGGGAAAATGGAATGAAAGTGGAACCTCTTTGCTGTGACAATCTCCCAAAATGATGTTTACGTAAGAAGGGAATTTGACATTGATACCGATGTTCAAGTATTTGTAGCCAGTCACAGTTAACGGATATCTTCTTTCGAGAATGCGAACGATAGGATGACGTGCGATTTGATGTCTGTAAGTAAAGAAAAAAAGTATTAGATGGAAAAGTAGATATATGAGAAAAAATACTTACTTATCTGATTGTTCTTTATCTGATTGTTCTTTATCTGGAGTTTCTCCATTCAAATCCTTAAATTTTGTCTTCTTAGCGCTTCGTCTATTGTGAGTATCCTGCTCCGTGAGGTAATTTTCGATGTCTGCATTGTTGAACATTTTTTTTATTTTTCTCGCAGTATCGTCTTCACGAACGAAACGATTGGAAAGTGCGTACATCCTTCTAATGATATTGTCGGAATGATCGTTGCTTTCACACTGATCGTATAACTAGTATATTTCTCCTTATATATTATTATTTGTTATATATATATTACTTGGGGTATGTTATATGTACGTGTCCTTCCATCTCCCTCTTTCTCATTACTCCTCGTTGCGCTTTGTCAATATTTCGATCGAATTAGTCGATTTAAGATATCTTGCAATTGCTGCAATAATCCATCTCTCGAACATTTGACATTGAGTATGTTTATGTTAAATTGACCAGCTTCCGTTACAGTTTTCGTGAACTCGTTAAATTTGTAAAATTGTTGTTTGTTGGCGAAATAAATATTACCGTCGATGTGTCGAAAGGCCAAGGTCAGAGCTGGCGGTATTCCTGGGAATACTAATTGTAACGTGTGACACGCACGAATACTCATGCTACATTCGTCTACCTGCGCCACATCATGATCATCGAAGATTGCATAGGTTTGTCCTCTGTTGGTATTTATTACGATATTAATCAAAGCGTTCGTGGGAAATGCTAGACTCGAGAGATGTTTTGGCCAATCGTCTTTTAATTTGAAACTGGTATAATCGACCATGTAAACCATATTATTTACGAACAGTACTATTTCACCCGAGGACCTTTGATATGCGGCGGATAAGGTGAAATTTTTTGGAAGGGAATTCATGTAGCTATTTAGTACGAATGGTCCGTCGTATTTTTTATTGTTTATATTTATTGACCATACGTAGCATTGATACGTGATGAATATTTGATGATGTAGTACCAACACGGTATCCACATATTGTAAATTACAAAGATCTACGTAGTCGGGTTTATTCGTCGTTGTCGTCGTTGTCGTCGTCGTACTTTTGGTTGGTGGTTTTGTAATAGTTGTTATTGGTCTTATATTTTTACTTCCATAGAGTTGTTGAATGGCTAAAATGTCTTCTATATTGAGTTTAACGAGTGTATTATTAGTACTGACAAATGCGAACATTATGGAGTCTTCCCACGAACTGTGTCTTAAGGGGTTACATCTTTTAAGGGGTTACATCTAATTGAAAAAAATTTTTTAACGTTTTTTTTTGGCTTAAATGATGTATAAACATCCCAAGAATGATACACAAAAGGAATTATAAGCGGAAAAATTTTTTTTCTTATTTTGATAGCCTATTTTCCGGAACGCCTCCAAGCGCTCCGAAACGCATGAAACAGCCTAGACGGCAAAAGTAGCAATTCGAAGTCGTTTAGCCCAATAGTTATATAGAAAGTATAGTTGGCGTTAGTCACCACTAGTCGACCAAAATGTAGCCATGTCTACCAACTACAGCTGTGCAAACAATTGTAACGGTCGGCAAACACACAATACG